TTACAAAGTTTATTCTCCTCCTAGAATTTAGACTTAATTAGATCTACTGCTCTAAAATTATAGATTAGCAGACATGAAAGAAACTTTATCATCCTAAATCATTTTGTCTTACAGGTAAGAAAGCTGATTCTGCCGAATTAAGTCACATGATCTTACTTAAGCGCTCAGTGTCTGAATTCCTGCTCTGCTGTTCTTTCTAGCAACCACACTACCTGCCCTAACTCACTGTAAACTCCCTAACTTTTAAATTTCTGGATGAGGAAGTGCAAGTTAGCGAAGTGTCATTAAGGGGTCTGGCCTTTCATGATTAGTGATGTTAAGGAGCTTGACCGTATTCGGTGAAGGACCCAGAGCAGGAGCTCATTACACTCTCGTGTCATAAACTTTTAGTTAGTCTGCATGGAATCTTGGGGTTCTTTTGTGATTATGCCCTAATATTTAAAACACAGTAGCATACATTTAAGACATTCAGAACCTGGGACAGTGCCCAGCACATTGTGCCCCATAAAAGTTGTTGACTGAATAATTAAAGAACTAAAAAAAAAAAAGGGCCAGGGATTTGGTTCAGCGGTTCCACCACCTGCCTCACAAGTCCCAGTTCCATCCCCGGTACAAAAAACAAAAAAAACAAAAAACAACGAAAAACAAAACAACAACAAAAAGAACTTCATAGAAACTACATCACTCTTCTTGTCCCACATGATTTTGTTTTTACTGTAATCTAAGTTTTGATGTCATAAAATGAGGTAAGACACAGTAATAAAGCCACAGGTTGATAATTCTGTTAACAACTTTCCCAACTTTTCAATTCAGTTCAATTTAATAAGTATTTCTTTGGCGTCTACTATCTGCAATGTTCTCTATGAAGCATTATCTGTAGGATTTGAGGGTAAGTAAGGTTCCTACTCTCTAGGCTAATTCATTGCATTTAACTTGTGTTTGGCTTGATAAATCAAAGGATACCCACTGTAGTGGAAGCCTGTATCCTTAAGGCAGTTAAACATTTCTCCAACAGCCAGATTTAGGAAGCCCCAAACCAAGTCAGTACATGTGGAAGTTAGGAGTTTCTTTCCTTGCAGATTTTGAATATTGAGTTAATTAGTCATATGCCTGCTAGAAGTCAGGGGACACCCCATATAAATCCCAAGATATCCCTTTCAGCCCTGTGCTATTGAATGTGAAATGAACAAACCCTTCCTAGCTTATTTCTCACCCATATGTGAGAGAACACCCATACCTATTAGCTGTTCTATTAATTGCCCAGAGAGAGCTGAGAAGAAAGCTTTTACAATCAATTCAAATGTAAAAATAGTATTGGCCCCTTGAGAAAACATTAACCATCAAGATTATTTCTTGTTCACACCCTTCTTGTGCTACAGCACTTTATGATAGAATTCATGTAAGATAGATAATTTGATTTCATCTTGTTAGACATTTCAGCAGTTCCTGAGTAAATTTAATAGCTTGATGTCTGGAAAATATGACTGATCAGCGGCTCCAGCACTTACTAGTATTTGGGGCAGGGGTGAGACAGGGTCTCACTATATAGTTGAGACTGACCTAGAACTCACTATGTAGCCCAGGCTGGTCTTGAACTTACAGTGATCCTCCTGCCTCAGCCTCCCAAGTGCTGGGATTACAGGCGTGCGCCACCATGCCCGGCAGCACTTACTAGTATTAAATAGGTTTGAAATTTACTTTATCTGAGAATAAATAGGAATAATAATAGTATCCCTTCAGATTTTTGTTGTCCTTTTAATAATAGTCATCAAGCCAGCCTCTCTCTAATTAATGTCAGGCATTGTGCCAAGTACTATATATTAGCTTATTTAATTTTCAGAAGATTGCATTGAAACAACAATACTATTAGACTAATTTTTTAGATGACACATACCTCCCAACTTCTACCTGAGTCCTGTTTGTTCCTGTACACAGAAAAATGAGAACTCGGTTGTTGTTTTCTTTGATTCTATACAAATAGTGAATATTTTTGGTATATTTCATAATATGTTTTCTTTGATTTCCTGGAGTTAATGTTTACTTGGCTATGATTTCATATTCTTTTCATATGCTACTTAATTCTACATCTTGATTATTACAATTTTACCATCAATATTTAACACAATATTAAACTTACCGTGAGTAGTGCTTTAGTCATATTGTATAGTTTTGATATGTAATGTTCTATTAATGTGTAGCATTGTCATCTTTTAGTAATTCTGCCATCTTAGTTTCAATTTTTACTTTAAAGTTACTCAAAAGAGTTTTGCTTTTTCTTTTTTCTTTTTATTAGTACACGTTTAAAGTACATAATGTTTAGATTCCTTGTGTGGAGTTAGTGCATGTACATAACATATCTTAGTGCATGTACAAAACACATCATTTTCATCCCTTTTCCCTCCTTTCCCTCTCTCGCCTTCCATCTCTTGATTGCCTCCCCATTTGAGAAAGTTCTATCTCCCTACTTCCTATTATCTTTTATTTTGCTCTTTATTTACACTTTGGGTTTCTCATAGAAGAGAAACCATATGATATTTAAGCTTGGGTGTCTGATTGATTTCATTTAATATTATTCATTTTCCTACAAATGACTCGTTTCTCTTTTTTTCTTTTTAATGGAAGAACAGCACTCCATTCTGCAGAGCATTTCTTTTTTAATTCTCAGCTTTTGGAGAGAAGCAATTCTGTACTTGTTACAATTGATAATTTATAGTTTGGTTAATGAATATTGCCTGTACTATTTCTGCTTTTGGGAATTTATTGAAGTTTTCCTTGGGCCCAGTACATGTACGTGGTTAATTTCAGTTAGTATGTGAAAAAGAGATACATCCTCTGTTTTAAAGAGTAGTGCTGGCTTATATGAATAAGATCTATTATATTTAATATGTTGCTAAATGTCTTTTATAATCTCACTTATTTTTGTGTATCAGATGTCACAAGCTGTATATTATTAGGTTCCCGTAGCTGCATGGCAAAGTAACTCAAAATCCCAGGGACATTGTTAGCAAATCTTATTTCTTGCTGGTGCTGCTAGCAGAGTGTTTGCTGTTCAGCTGGAATTGGCTCATTTGGCTCAGTCCCCTCCACAGGTCTTCTTCAGACCCAGGGCTGAAGAAGCAGCCACTCTGCATGCCAGGCCAATGTGGGACACTTGTCTTGCCTGAAAAATGTAAGAGGACTCCAAAAAACGTAACAATCAAGACAAATATTCTAATGTAATATTTTTAAAAGTCAAAAGCAATGCAAAAATCTATCATGAACAAAATACCAAAATTTTAAACAAAAACAGAATCTGACACTGCACTTTGCATGACGCTGCCTTGCCCATGTCACCCAGTCTCTGCTCTGGTAAAACAGGATGTGCAGGTTTAAACCATACAGGTCCATTAAAGTCTGTGCTCAGGTATGGTCCCTATCACATGCATGTCACATGTCACTCACATTCCTTTTGCCAAAGCAAGCTGCATGGTGAGCTCCAAAGAGAAAAAGATAAAGAAGTATATTCTACCTGTAAGAAGGATGGTAGAAACTGATGAGTGGAGGAAACAAGTGGCAGTCTCCCATGGGCTGAATAAGGCAAGTCTACAAACAGTACATTTCTACGGATTTCTCCTTGCTTTTCCAGTAGTTTTGAGCATCCTAGGTTTTCTTTCTATGTATTCTGGTAAACCAGTATTCATATAGGTAAAATTTTAATTATTGATTTTTACTTCTTTAATTAAAATGCTTTTTAAATTTAATCTTCTTAATGATAAGGTCATGACTCCTGTTTGGTCTTTGTTTGCATGTGCCTGGGCCTTTGTTTTTTGGGGTTTTTTTTTTTCTATTTTGTTTTGTTTTTAGCTTTCTGAATTACTTTTTTTTTTTTTTAGATTTTCTTGTTGACTATGTGTGATCAATATTTTAATAGAAGAATTTAAATCTATTTATCTCTTGCTATAATATACATGCTATATGTTGTATCACAGCCATATTATCCTATTTTTCTGTTTTCTATGAAAGTATTTTATTGGTATGGTTTGTGTGTGCTTTATGTGTTGCTTATAATTTGAGGTTGGTTCTTTTTTTAAAAAAGAGATGATTAAGAAGAATTTCTTAGGCACTTACTCTTTGTAAATAATTTGGTAAAGGCTACTTCTAGGAGGAGCACAATATAAAAACAAAAAGAAAGGCAAACAATGTACCATGTTTGTAGATTACCTGCCTAGCATGTGTGAGGCTGTTGGTTTGATACTGGAGCTGGTTCTGTGCTTTAATTTTTTTTTATAGTGGTCTCTAACATCATAACTGGTAAACATTCCATCCTCTGTTCTAAGAGTATCTATTAACCATTCAGTCTAAACAATTTTAAAATTACATACTTCCTCAATCCTGTTCTAGCTCTTCCCCCATCAAATTACAGTAGATTGTGAGGTGTGCTGGTGCACACCTGTAATCCCAGCACTTGCAAGGCTGAGGCAAGAGAATCACTGTGAGTTCAAGGCCAGCCTGGACTACATAGTGAGTTTAAGACTATCCTGAACTAATAACCAAACCTTGTCTCAAAAAACAAAGAACCAAACAAACAAAAATTATAGTAAAATATCTATTTTGTCTACTCTTTTGCAGCTTAACTACTTGAGTTTCAATCCTAACTTTACTGCTTTAGCAAATGTGAACATTTAATGTTCTATGAGTTACTTAATCTCTCAGCTTCAGTTTAATCATCTGTAATATTGGAATCATAATATTTCATCATATATATTTCATAGCATTATTCATTATAGATATTATATATTTCATTGTAGTACTCCTGGAGCTATTCTGAGGATCAGAATATTTAATATTTAAATATCCAAAGTAGAATCTGGAGCTATAAATACTCAGTAGAGACTATTTATTACTGTCACATTTAAATATTAAAGTTTTGGAACTTTATGGGCATAACTATGTTCTAAAGAATATTTCTTCCAAAGAACAAGCAGAAAAGACTTACAAAGGATTGATGGGCCAACACCTACCTGTTTTCCTGCTGGAATCTACTATGGCCCCATGACTCAAAACTCTCATCATATCAAGTGTGTTCATTGAAAAGTCTGCCTCCACTCCTTTTTTCCCAGTCACTCACTGCTTGCAGCCAAACAATTACCAGTTTTCTGTGGATTCTTCTCATTTTACCCACTTTCAGTGACATCTTTTCAACTCTAGCTATGAAAGATAAGGAAATATTTAAACTTCAGCAAACATGTTGAAACTTCCTGCCATTTTTTCCTTCCCAGCTTCTGTTAGGCACTATTATTTCATCACTACATTATGAATGCATATGGAAGCTACAGATATTCCTTGAAGTTTTGTGTCATTGTTGCTTTGTATGAATATTTGAGCAAATGCAAAGTTAATGGGTTAGAGCCAGGCGTCATGGTGCACGCCTATAATCCCAGCACTTGGGAGGCTGAGGCAGGAAGATCACTGTGAGTTGGAGATCAGTCTGGGCTACATAGTGAGTTCCAGGTCAGTCTCAACTACATAGTGAGACCCTGTCTCAAAAAACAAACAGACAAAGTTAATGGGTTAGGGTCCATTTAAGGATAAATGGAAAAAACACCAGCTATTTTGTGTTTCCTACTGAATATAGCCACAAAATTTAGAGAGACGCAAGAAGACTGACAAGAGTAGCAAATGGATGGGGAGGATGAAAGTGCTACCAAACAAGCTGTGACTTTCCCATGATTTTTCCTGACCAGTACTGAAGATAACATAAAACCTGAACGTGTGCACACACAGAGTGATCAAAATATATGGTGAATGTTTAAATTTTTTTAAAATATTAAAATAAAAAGACACATTGCCATTAATTCCCTTCTAAATACTCCCCTTCCCTTCAAACACACTTATCCCATCATACTTGCCACTTTCTGAAGCAGTTGTGGAAATCCTCTTACATAAATGTCTCTGCGATAAAAAAATATGGTGAATGCTGCAGCCAAAGGCCATCCAATGAAAAAGTAGACTCTTAAAAAAAAATTACAGGGCCGGGGATTTAGCTCAGTGGCACCACGCCTGCCTCGCAAGCTCAAGGTCCCTAGTTCAATACATGGTACAAAAAAAGGAAGGAAGGAAAAAGAAAAGAAATTACAATGTGTCCTCATCCACCTTATTCACTAGATCTGCTCCTGTGCAACTTCTGGATTTTCCCCAAACTCAAAGTGACCATGAAAGGTAAATGTTTTTAATCAGTTCACAACATTGAGGCAGCCACAACAATGTTACTAAAAACACTCTCAAAAGAGGCCTTTCAGTCCTACTTCAGAAAGTGGCAAGAATTTTCTGGGAAGATGGTGAAGTGGTAAATAGCAGAGAAATAGTCTTTCTGAGATTTGGTCTATAGACGCTGGAACACAGCAACATGAAGAAGAGAACAAGGAGGGAAGTGGGTCCTCATGACCCAACAAGGAACTGAACTGAGAATTGAAGCCCACAGGGAGAGTAAAGAAACCTCAACAAAGAAGGAGATGGCAAGCAGCACTTCCTCCCTGAACCCTGACTCATTGTGTGGGAGGGGTGGCCCAAATCTGCAGATGTACTGTGACTACTTGCCACCCCAGAAGACTCTACAGAGAAATACACCAGTGGAATGGTACCCTGAACTCAGCGGACTGCAGTGGCTGGTGAATTTTTCATGTTCAGACATCCCCAGGAGAGGGTGATTGGCCAGTCACCATATTGGAGAGAGGCCAATTGAGCTCAGAACTCAGAGCAGCTACAGGCTGGACTTCATCTAGCAACTCAGCTCCTACTGTTAGGGTGAGGTAGAACCAAGTTCAAATCAACAGGAAATCAAGGAGCTGAGTTCAAGCCAGCAGGAGGCACACAGAGTGTTGCTAGCTGAACAAGTTGAGTCCCTGCCTCACAGCCAGAAACCAGCTGGAAATAAAGTGGAAATAAAGGTACAGGTTTGCTGGGGTTATCCACTACTACGCCATAAATCTACAGCTGGCTTAGCTGTTCCTCAGACAAAGGACTATTATCAAGGATATATAAAGAACTCAAAACAATCAGTCCCCCCAAATATAAAGACCCAATTCAAAAATGGGCATCCAAAATGAACAGACATTTCTCAGACAAAGAAGTAAAAGCAGCAAGAAAATATTTGAAAGAATGTTCCATATCACTGGTCATTTGAGAGATGCAGATGAAAACAACACTGAGATTCCACCTCACCCCACAAAGAATGGCTGCTATCAAGAAATCACACAATAACAAATGTTGGCGGGGTTGTGGGGAGAAAGGAACCCTTCTCCATTGTTGGTGGGAGTGCAGACTAGTGCAACCACTGTGGAAATCAATATGGAGATACCTCAAAGAGCTTGGACTGGAGGTTCCATTTGACCCAGCCATCCCTCTGCTGGGTATCTTTCCAAGAGAACTAAAAGAATCATATCACAGAGAAGTATGTGCACCCATGTTTATAGCGGCACAGTTTGTAATAGCTAAATCTTGGAAACAGCCTATTTGCCCATCCGTTGGAAACTGGATAAAGAAGTTGTGGTTTTTCTATAAAATGGAATATTACTCAGCCATAAAGAGCGAGAGAATAGATTCATTCATAGGAAAATGGATACATATTGAAGATATACTCCTAAGTGAAATAAATAAGTCACACATGTGTAAATACCGAATAGTTTCCCTGGTGTGAATAATCTGCAACAATGCATAAGATTCTAATAAGATTACTGACATTTAGAAATGGGAAGAAAGGAGCTAAAGGTGTAGGGAAGGTGAGATGGGTAGGGGAAGAGTAAAAAGGGAAAAGAAAAAAATGTGAGAGAATGAAAAGATGAAAATAAAGTGTTTGTAGATGGGGAGGGGAGGAGGGGGTGAAGGGAGGGCAGAGGTCAGGGGAAAAAATGAGAATCAAGACTTGTCATGTAGAGGTACAAGATCCCAACAATGAATGTAACTGTACTGTATCCCTAAAATGTACAAATAAACTCAATTAAAGCTGAAAAAAAAATCTACAGCTGGCTTGCTGGGATTAATCAACATGGATCGAGGCTCTGTCTGGCCATTCTGTCTACCAGTGATAGTAAAGATACACATTGAAGAGGAATTCTTTTCTTTTTAAAATTTTTTTTTCTGGATTGTTTGTTCTTGTGTTTATATGAGCATGAACATTGTTCTGGTTTTGTTGTTCTGTTCTCTTCTCTTTAGTTCTCTCTTTCCCTCCTTCACCAGTTTCCCAAAGTTCATGTAATCTTCCTTTGTTGACAACCCACACTGTGGGAAAATTTTTTTCCACCTGTTCCTTGGGCAAAGAACGACTATCTAAAATATACAATTATATATATACACACACATATATATATACACACACACACACACACACACACACACCTCAAAAAATCAATTTCCAAATGTAAAGACCCATTCCAAAAATGGGCATCTGATGTAAATAGATTCTTCTCAAATGAAGAAGTAGAACCAGCCAATGAAGATATGAAAACATGTTCAACATCACTGGTCATTCAAGAGTTGCAGGTGAAAACAATGACACACATATATATATACACACACACACACACACACACACACACCTCAAAAAATCAATTTCCAAATGTAAAGACCCATTCCAAAAATGGGCATCTGATGTAAATAGATTCTTCTCAAATGAAGAAGTAGAACCAGCCAATGAAGATATGAAAACATGTTCAACATCACTGGTCATTCAAGAGTTGCAGGTGAAAACAATGCTGAGATTCTACCTCACCCCAGAATGGCTATCATCAAGAAATCAACCAATAATAAATGCTGGTGTGGCTGTGGCGAAACAGGAACCCTTCTCAACTATTGGTGGGAGTGTAGACTGGTATAATCACTGTGGAAATCAGTGCGGAGATTCTTCAAAGAACAAAAGCTAGAGGTTCCATGTGACCCAGCTATTTCCCTTCTGGGTATCTTTCTGAAAAAATTAAAAGCCTCATACCACAGGAATATATGCACATCTATGTTTATAGCAGCAAAGTTTGTAATAGCTGAATCTTTAAAACAACCCAAATGCCCATCAACAGATGAATAGATAATTTTTTTAAAATACAATGAAGTCCTACTCCTACTCTGTCATCTGTCATAAAGAAGGATCAGCTTGAGACATTTCTAGCCAAATGGATGCAACTTGAGACCATAGTGAAATAAGTCAGACACACACATTTAAACACTACATTGTTTCTATGGTGTGAGGAACTGAAAATGTAAATAAGTACTAAAACATATAATAGATATTTGGACATAGGAAGAAAATGTTCAAATGGGAAGGAGAAAAAGGGAGGGGGTTCATGGAAAGGAAGGTACAAGAAAAAATGAATAGAAGGAAAAGTGGAAATGTAGCTTTTGTAGTTAAGGAGGAAAAGAAGGGTTGAAGGGAGAGGAGGTAGAATAGTAAAAAAAGACTCAAGATATATTATGTACAGGTATATATTCCTTATAAATGTGATCATTATGTATATCTAAGATGTACCAATATAAATTTTATATTACAAAAAAGTGGTAAGAATGATGGGGTGTGTTCAAAGTGAAAGAGAATCTTTTGACATTTATGGCAATGTGTCTTACTATAATTATTTTTAAATTTTAACATCCAACATAGTTTCTCATAAGTGCTAATAGAGCTTGCTGTGGTTTGGATCAGGAATGTCATGAGTTAAATGTGTAGCCCCCCAGCTTGGCACTGTTAGGAGGTGATGGAACTGATGGTATACCCTTGAGGAAGAGAGTGAGACCCAAGCCTTTCCTTTTCCTCTCTCTGGTTCATTCCTGGCCATGAGATGAGCAGCTTCCTCCTTCATGTACTTCCCCCGTGATGTACAGCCTCCCTACAGGCCAAAAAGCATTGGGCCAAGCAACCATGAACGAAAGCCTCCCAAATCGTGAGCCAACATAAACCTTTGTACCTCTTAAATTGATTAGCTCAGATATTTGTTACAGTATGGGAAAGATCACTAACAGTTCGAGAAGTCCTCTTGTCTGGGCTTGAGGAGCAAATAAATGGTCTCCCAACACCACAGACAGTGACAGCAGTCCCCCATATTATTTTTCTTTTCTTGGTGCTCTTATTCTCTGTCCCCATGTAATTTCATGACTATGGCAGTGCAAAAAGACTGCAGAAGATCAAAGCTTTCATTGGATTCTTCTCTGGATTAAGGAACTCTGAT